GCTCGAGGACGCGTGTGGCCCCGGGATGCAGGCTCAGGTCTACACTGTTTAGTCTTAAGACTAGCAGGTATATATCCCTCTTTAGCTTTAACTTCGCTGCGCCGAAAAATGCACATGGTTGTCTAATCCAGGTATCGAAACTTCGATGTACCCACAGCTCCCTCGTTATCGCCAACTGGACTAACTGAGAAAGTGGCGAGTTCACTTTTATATCAGTAAATCTCCAGGTTCAGCCCGGACATCGACGGCAATTTTGGACAAAGGAATTTATTAAGCACTTGGTGAATTAGCCACCGAAGCTTTGGTTAATTATGTGTTTTAAATGATATCGCGAAAGATGTGTACGAGTCGTAATTGATTATACATTTTTAAAAACCCTGTCGAGTAAAAAACCGAGCAATGGATTGTCCACACATCATGTTTGTACCGATGCAAAAATAGGAACGGAACATGATTTGTTAAGGGTGTTTGTGTATTTTAAGGCATGGGATTGGCAGGTGGGCGGCATATGGATATGAAGGACCACCGTTCGTCGTTAGATGAGCCTTTTATGCCTAGTTGGGACATTATAGTCAGCTACGGGCATGTGCGTGGATCCGGCAGTTACAATAAGTGGCCTCGGCAGGTGACATCGAGTAAATTTATGGGTATGACGGTCCATCACTGGCAGTTAGATTGAAATATCAAGCGTAGTCGGGGCCTCATTTTTATCGGCCCGCATAGGCATTGGCCTGGCGTTTACTATAGGTAGCAGACATGGGCAAGAGCGCGCTCAGTTATGGGTACGACGGGTCATCTTTCGCAGTCATATTAGGACGCCGCATACGAGCACCAGCCTAACACTTTCAAAAAGTGGCCAAAGTTGGTACCATCGCCTAGGTTACTAGTTATGAGGTTGGATTAGGTTACCAGGTAATCAACACCGCACATGGACACAGACCTAGCACGTATGATAATTAGCCAAGCAAGGCGACATCTAGCACGGCAATAAGTATGACGGGCCGTCAATTAAGGCTCTCATGTATGGTTGAAGCCTTATTTTTGACTGCCTGCGTGCATACTGGCCTAGTGTTTATTATAGGTAGCAAAGACCGCCGTTGGACATTGGATTATGTTACTGTGCATAGGTGAGGATACAGACCCAGTAATTACAATAAGTAGTCAAGGTGAGTGATTACGACTACCGTTATCATAACGACCGCCTGACGGAGATCACCGCCTATTGAGCGTCATGTTCAAAATAAGAATGATACTTGCAGCTATCTTGCGACGCTGTGTTATCTTCAAGCCAGGTATACATATCTGGGAAGGATGGTCATCCACGGAGATGGAATTCCCATCACTACTGCACAGTCCATGCTGTTGTCTTACAACGTTGTACTTGATGGAAAATGAGATCCGTGAGAGAGTGTGTTGTGAACAGGTTCGCCGAACAAAATCATCTCACGTGGTGAATCTGAGGATGGTAAAGCGAACAAACGTCTACGACCGATCTTCCGGAGTTGATTCCGAATTAGACATTGTTTAGATGTTTCTCTATGGCCAATGAACACCGAACGACGCCAAAATTTGTATAAGTGCGATTTTGTCTCTTATATTGCGCAAACCGGTAACAAAATGCAGATCAGTGATGGTCCTTGACTTTGAAACTTCCTTCACTTAAATAAAAATTCAACGAACAACATGCCACTAGGAGGTGCAAAAGAATTAGCTTAAATCCGTTGAAAACATAACTTCGAAAAACTTATATTTTAGACAAAAATAATCTGTACGTGCTTGTTGGGGCGCTGGCCATTTTCGAAACCACTCAAGGACAGTCACAACCACCAACGGTTCTCACTTTTAGTCCGTGTCAGCCGGCTTTATCTTTGAACTGTTCAGACCTCATTCCCATTGCCCTAGTGATTCGGCCCCCGCAATCGCGATGACTTTTCATGTAATAAGCGTGCCTCGTCGGTTGTACCTTCCTACTCGTTTTCTTATTGCCTGCCGCGTTCAGGCAGCAACAGCCCTATCACCCCTTGTTGATTCGGACTGCGAATCAACGGTGACCAGCGGTACCTTTTATTGTTTTCTGACTACTCATGAGTAACGTGACTCGCATCTGTTTATTATGACACCGTTTCGTTTCTTTGCTCTTTTACCCCCTGTTTCGTCCCGGCTCAGGGTCTGCTTATGCCTCAGTAACTGATGTCAATACTTAATTTGCCCGTCCGTCATTGCTTGCAAGTTCGTCTGGATTGCACCTATTCACGAGCGTCCACTCCGACCGAAAAGCGCGCCGACCAGGTATCGAACCCAGAGTCTGCGGACAGCAGGCGGACCCCGTTCACGATGTATACCCAATCGTCAAGCAGGTTAGATTGTTCGCGAGGGAGCGTCACGTGGATCAACTTTAGGCAATAAATTATGACATCAAAACTAAGCCACTAATGCTACTAAAACAAGAGTATCACCTGACCGGTTTTAATTAGCTCCAAACTTGTAGTCATATTTAGGGCTTTAATAAACCGTTCTCACTTGAGCAACCCAGCTGTTCAGAGACTTATCGAAACATGAAGGAACTCTTCAAGCTATTTCAAAATAACTTGGCTGCAGACGAACAGCTTCATAAACGTTGAAATTTAAGATTACTTGGACCAAATATAATGTCGACTTGACATGTATATCGAGGGCCAGAAAAGAGCTGGAAGACGGTGTTTTTGATTGGTCGGAATATGGACAGAATAGTCTCAATCATTTTAGCTCGATGTT